AGAAGCGACGAAGAAAACTTTCTCATTCACGGTGAGTTGACAGAAACAAATAAAGCTCTAGATACTTTTTTTCTCAGAATTTGGTAGTAATTTAAATTTTCGGCGTTTTCTTTTAAACCGTTGATGCTAAAGCTTACAAAATTCGATACAAAAGGATTAACACTATCATTTGCCATGTTTGAAGATACTGTAAAGATCTAACTTTTGCGCATCCACTGTTTACGGCTTCGTGTTCACGCATGAATTTTCACCCGTCAATCAAACTAATCGTTTTTTAATGGTTTCCTTTCTGATTCTGTTGAGATCACTTCGTGTGAATATACTAAAACAATTATTCACCTCAGGCGCAGTTAATATTGTTGAATAATCCCCTCGACTTCGTCTCGGGGATTATTCAACAATATTAAGTTCGCCTTCGGCGAATAATTGTTAATTAAACACTAAAGAATAAATAAGCGAAAAAAGTTTAACACAACGTTTCGATGTCGCCATAACATCATTGTTAAGTGACAAAGATAAAACTAAAAACTGAAAAAACAACTGAAAAAGACAGAAACCGAGAAAGGCGTTCAAAACTATTGAGGCAAGACGACGGCGTTTTTGAAGATTGGCAGGCTTCCTGAGGCTTTGATAGGAATTCAAATTGGCGTCCGATCTTGCAAACCACACACCGACCACAACTTTTTAAACACAAATGCCTAGTGTGGATGAACCCAAGCCTTTTGCTTTGTGGCTTTCTTCCGGGCAGCCGAGTCTAAACCGGGTATTCATGTACCTTTTTTGTAGTTGTAATTGCCAGAACTCAGTGGAAAAAAGTCTTCAAAAAAAGTTAGAAAATGAGGCATTGAGCCGCAGAGAACAAATTATTGTTAAATTTTACAACTTTCACACAGCCTGCGATAGGAACAACGAGTTGAATTGTACATAAAAAAACATTAATTTTCCATTAATGGTGATCAAGATTTTCATTGGCGTTGCGCAATCAGCTTGTTCAAACTGTTCGCGTCTAGTCCTTAAAAACCAAACAGAAACTGAATATAAATAGGGATAGATTATGAATCATTTTAAAGACAGTTTTCTCACCTTTTTCGTCTCCATCTCTTAGATTCGATTGTCTTCTGTTACCGTCAGCAGAACAGACAAAAACTGATGGTGGTTATATTTTACTCTTTTGTAACTTAAAGGTAATATAATACGATACTTGTATCTACTGTTAAATTCTGTCATGCGCTCGGAACATTACTTTATAGCAACTTCAATTTTCCCCCTGCTAAAATGTCAAAAAAACCTAATTGCCTCGCATAAACCAAAGGTGATACCTGCTCTCATGTGCAAATATATATATTTATCAGAAAATATTTACTTACTTCAGTGGTTTCATAATCTTAACCTTGAATAACCGTCTTGGGGCCGATTTCGCTTAATGTTCATACAAAGAAATATGTAAAAATGGAGGAACGTAGCATGAATTTGTCCATGAAAAATACGGATTGTACAATGTGATTTTGACTCCAGTTTTACTCAGAGTGGCAAACAAGAAAACACTTACAAATTTTTATCCAAGATCTCGATGTGTCATACGAATCGAAGGTATAGATAGTTACTCAAGGAAGGGCGAAATCATCCTTGCTCGAACTAGAGAATATCTAACACTTTCGCTTCAGGACTCGGTATAACTAAAACATCAAGTTTATCATCCATTACAATTCTAATTTAGAATTTTAATGATTTCATTCTGAATCCACTCTGTAGAAATATCACAGCTAAATGTCGTTTTACACTTTTAATTTACTTGTACCTTAAGAAAGCCCTAATCGCACACAGTCGCTACACTAGTTTGTATCCTACTGACTACAGAAGAAGCAAAAATCGGCACAGACGGTAATAGTGCGTGGCTTTTCCATGTAACTTTGAAGTAGCTTCAAATACCCGTAAAACGGAGCACTAATGGAAAGAGGGGGACCCGGTAAAATGGGCGTCAGGAGTTTGTCGTTCAAATAATGAGTGTTGTAGTTTTGTAATTTATTTAACTACGGAACACATAAGAGTTCTTAAGAACTCGTTTAAATGTGCCCGTGCAATCCAGATCGAATTTGAATTTGGAATTAGGTGTTGGTTTTTGAAGAGGGGAAACCGGAGCAAGAAAAAGAACCAGAAATAAACGAAACCCAGGCTTGAAATGAATTTACGGGATAACTATAAAGATTTTTTTTAGTTTTGTAGTACATATTCATTCTAATCTCTTTTTAACTTATGAAACTGGAGAATGGAAAGCTTGAGCAAAATTTCTCGTCGAACCGAGCAGTTTATTGGTCGCTATTTTACTTCGCCGAAATAATTCATTACTGAGATTCAAGGTCACTTGGTGACTTCGAAGGGTGGCTGGCTGTTCAAGAAAATCAATTCTTTAATTTCATCTAAAAGACAGTTTTCAGGCGAGAAAATTTATGAAAAGTTTCATGAAAAAAAATTCAATTCCCTTACAGATAAATTTCCTAGTAATAAACTTGCGATTGTCAATACGAATTTAGCACATGGAATTGATTGTAGTCTAGATCTATAACCAGCATAAAGAACCGGTAACACGAGCAAGCACTCGATAAATAAGTCTTATTTTCACACTGTAAAGGAAAAGCTTCGTGGGGCGTTTACTAATGAATTTCAAAAATCGTCGTAAAACATGGAACTTCGAATTCAAGAGTAAAGTTTGTTTTTTCTTGCTGAAGACTGGGGTCAGGGATACTTTATAGAAAGGAAAATCATTTTTTGGAGGAGCCATGAAAGCTCCCATATAACAATGGCTAAAATCTTTTAGAGAAGTTGCGAATGGCCCTTAGCTTGAAATTATTAGTCTTAATATCCGCTTCCCAATATCAAAAAATGGCTCTAACTGCGTTGTAGCGCTTGGCTACACAAGAGAAAGTAAAAAAAGACATGTTCAAAAATATCCGCATATATATATATGGATAATTTTATCTTGATTCATTTTAGTGTGAAATGTTTTTCGGACAGATAATAAACAAAATGGCAAAAAGCCGCTATATTCGGACATACACTTGCTGCTGTCTAATAATGTATTCAGTTAACTAAAGTATAACTTTTAGTTGCATTTCGTTATTTTTTGCTGTCCTTTTCTATTTGTTTTGTTTTCACATCAAGAAAAACAACAGCGCAAAATAAGTATTTCGCAGGTAAGCAGCAAAATGAACCGTGCAACATTAAGGCTGAGGGATTTGTCTAGCCTGAAATTCACCCGATTGCTTCGAGTCGTTTTCTCCTCTCAACAACTGAGGGAGTGATAACGACTCGAAGTAATCGGATGAAATTCGGGTTAGGAATTGTCAGCATTTGACGTCTTTGCCTCAGTTAACATTCCACCCAATTTCAGCCCTCCAAAGTTCTAGCAGTCAAAGTAAGGCAAATCTCATTTATTGGTAATTATCTTGGAGATAACAAAATATACAATGAATATTTCAACATTTTACAAGTCTTCGAAGTATATAAGAAGTCACTATAAGATGTATTTCTCTAAGAAGGAGCAAATGGAAACGAAAGGCTTCTCCATTTCATCGCAGAGCGAGAAGAGCAAAAGCTTGGAAAATATTGATTCGGGCATATACTTCAAAATATAAATCATAAAACACACGCTTTGCAGGAACCCTGTAATTAAATCGAATCTATATAGGGAAATAATTTATTTTAAAAACTTTTTACCGAGCAAATTTACAGGGTTCAGAGCGCTTGTTCTTCCAGTGAAGCAGACATAATTAGTATCCTTCCAAATTTCTGATGGTATCTCTTCTTAATCTATGGAATTGGATTAAGGAAGGCTTGAGCGAAATTTCTCGTGAAAGTTTCCTACCCGAGCACTGTAACTCCAAATAATTAGACGGAGTGTACCTAAATGTCGTGGGTCGTGGGTGTGGGTAAATGTCGTGGGTAAAAAAAAGGTATAGAAAAAAATGATAAAGTAAAGAAAATGAAAAAAATAAATACAAAAAAGTTGTAAAATATTTATGAAAAGAAAATCTCCGACTTCTTGATTGCCCTTTTCACGACTTCTTCTTCGTCCTCTTCCTGATATTTCCTTAGCCACGTGGGACTAGACCTGGGTCCCCTTTCACAAAATCACTGTACAAAAGACATGTTGCCGATAAAGATTTATCCACACCTGAGCGATCGCCGCAAAAATAAACGAAACAGAAGTAAAATACGTCGAAACGTGCAATTTGCAGTAAGTATGGGACAGCTCTGACTCGCTGAATGGAAATAGCTGCTTACTATAATTAATTTTTATTCGATCTACAATTCTAATGATCAGCGGAGATTTTTTAACACGATGGAATGCAATCACCGTGGGAAAGGGGAGGGGAAGTCGGGGGGGGGGTAGAGGACAATCTTGAGCTACTTCATGTTTTTGGATATGTCTTTCTTAAAGAAGTTTTATAGTTTTAGGTCCCTTAGCTTACGAAAGGAACCACCCTCATGCCAATTTTAATTTTTATTCTTTTGGGAATTTTTTTTTAACCACGACATTTACCCAAACCCACGACCTCTACCCACAGCCCACTACCCACGACCCACAACACTTACCTAAACTCTCTAATAATGTATTCGATTCTATTCTTGTTTTCGCGTCTGCAGCCCAAATTCCTTGGAATTTTAAGCATATCGATTATTTCCATATCCACGTGAAATGATAAATTATTTTTCAATCAAAGTTTCAGCAATTTATAAGAAAAAAATGTAAGTACATTTCTTTATTTTTGGCTGTCTTTTTCCTTATTTTTCACATCAAGAAAAACAGCACAAAGAAAACAGGTACAGGAATTTGTCATGATTTGACGTCTTTGCCTCATTAAACATTCCACCCCAGTTCAGCCCTTCAAATCTCTAGCAGGTGAAGTAGGGTAAATCCCATTGGTCAAATGTCAACCAATCAAGTTACGTTTTTTTGGAGTTTTTAAAATATACATTTAGCAGATAGCATAAAAGCTCAACATCTGCAAGTAGGTCATAGTACCCGAGTAACAGAAGGAGCAGTAAGAAGATAGCGAGAAATTTGAACGAAACGTAAGTTTGCTAAAAAGTGAACATTGTAAGTAAAAATGCTCATAATTCTTTTTTTTTCTGCTACTTTTTGATTTAGTAGTTTATCCTTTTTAAGAATAGTAACATGATGATTTACTTTATGCTTCTCAGTTCCACATCATCTAAAGGCATTTTCTGCTCCTGTACCTGTTCGCGGAGCTGTCTACCAACTTGGTTATTCTTTTTCACGAACATAACCACAGCTAGCCTGCGAACCGCAGACGTATTTCCGGTCGTCGCTTCTTTCCCTCCGAAAAATAACTTCTGCGAACATGAACGACAAATCGATTTCTGTGACGTAAAACCTTTTGTTTTGATGTTCACCAATCAGATCAAAGGTCATAGAATACAGCTGAGTGACTCATCGCCACCTCGCGCGCTGGCGTTTCTTGGATTTTGGCGAGATTTACCAAATAGGATTTGGAACGTGAATTTCACAACTATAACGAGGTTTCCTGCGATGTTGAATGCTGACTTCTTTGTGAAGCAACGGCTTCCTAAGTTATGTATGTGATGTGGGTCTTTGTTTTCGCTCTAAAAAATACGGTAGTTCTTGACATAAAATGTGGACAAAATAATCCCAACACTGAAAGGAAAATAACATCATTAGCTTAATTACATTTTGCTCAGACCCGCGATTTATTTCAATTTAACCAGCGCTGACAAAATGTGGTGAATCGATTGTACAGACACATGTTTGACTGATTCAGAAATCTCTGGCAATCGCTCGTAAATAATTCAAATTCCTACAAGTATCGCCACAAAACAATGATCTGAAACGTTCAATAAACCTGTGGGCCGGACCCAGCGTGAAATAAATATTTAGAGCAGTAAACTGATTATAGTCAAGATTACGTTTCACCTACAACGCTTCGACTCATCTTATAAAAAACTATGGAAATTAAACCTTGAAAAGAACATATATTAAAGAAATATAAGGACAAATATAAAAAATGCTTTCAATCTGATCAAAGTTCTGTCTGAGCCAAGAAGCAACCACGGATGTCCTAGCTTTCAAAGATGAAGGTTACCAAAAAATATCTAAAGCGGCACACGACAAACTATCGGAGAATTCTCCAAGCATACTTTCTTCCCGCGAGGAACCAGAAAGGAACAGAAGCAACAAACGTCATGATGCGTCTACTGTCATTAGGACATTTATCGTTTCGAATATGATCAAAACAACAAGGTGTGATAAATCATTCACTCCGTAGGCCAATAGATTTCCCCTAATCTTTTCTTCAATATTAATCCTCTTAGTGCTTATTTCGTCAATCAGTCCCACGATCCGTAAAAGCGTCGTTCTGAGGAAAAAATACATCTGTGTTTCCCAGGCTAGAAAAAGAGCAGCTGTACACAAGCTATAGCCTGCGAGAGCATCCGGTTTTTTCGGCTCCAGTTTGATGGTTCCACATAAGAATACACAAAAAGAATACACAATAGACAAAGCCTGAAATACTACAGACTTTCCGAAACCAGTTGGAAGATTCACAAAAACATCGCAAGGCTTCCTTTTGATGCTTGTTGAGTCTTTCTAACCAGAAAACTTCCTATTCTTTCCTCAACGCACCTTCCGCCATACTTTCACACGCGTTGGCGCAAGATCCACGCAAGAACTCGCGTGTTACTTCTTCGAATAGGCGAGGTAAATTGTGATTGGTCACTAACTGCTGACGTCACGGAAATTTTCCTCTCGTTTCGATTTCCCAGACGGTTCTTCTCGGCGGGTGAAACTAAAGCCGAAAAAACCGGATGCTCTCGCAGGCTAAACCACAGCCTACAAATAATCGTTTATATAACATTTCTGTTTTTAGTGAAAAGGCATTGACTTAATTGTAGTGATTGATGTTTACACAAATATACGATTATACATATATTGTTTTTTTCCAATATGATTTTTTTTACCGTTCTTTTTTTATTATTATTAAAATGTGAGTTTATTTTGCAATATGAATTCCTTGACTCTCTGAATAAGAGCTTTTGGCATAAAAATAACTACATTAAAGCCTTCTTTTAATTAAATTCATATTTTCTCGCTCAAGGAAATGGCATTGTCGGGTGTTATCCTAATACTGATGTCTGCTGTGTTTATGGGCACTTATGCATGTAAGAATGGCTTTAGAATTCATTTATTTATATTTCACTATGAAATCACCGTATATAAGATCTCAGTTTGAATAAAATCTTAGTGGTCAATACACTGCAAGCAACCGACTTAACCAACCAGCCACACAACCAACTGACCCAACCAACCACCCATGAAACAAGCAAACAAATAAACAAACGAACAAACCGACCAACACAACAGTCTCTAAACCAGCCGACTAACCAACCAACCAAACGAATCTAAAGAAAATAAATTTTTTTTCTGTATTAAGTCTCATAAGCTAAAACGTCGAACAAGTACTGTCTAGAATCAAGGCTGCAGTCTTTCCATTTTGACTGCCCTACTTGATTTAGGGCAGATAGGAGCCACGTGGTCTGCTAGTAGAAGTTGTCTATTGGCTGAAAGAGATTTATGTATTTCTTTAAAAATTTCAGTTGATGACCGCAATTTTGCGAGAGACCACATTCCATATTTGCGTTTCGATGGAGGTGCAAGAGCAAAGCACTGCTGGCCTGACGAGGCTAAAGACTCCAACGATGGAAAATGCAAAGACTTCAATTCTAAAGCTCCTATCTACTACGATGTTGTTGATTGTGCTGATAAATATCGCAAAGTGAGTTTTCCTGTTCTAGCCTTAATTCTTTTAAGAATAAAAATTAAGACTATTGCTTGCTCGTTTTATTCTTGAGTCCCCAAGAGACCGAGTACAACGATAGAAATAGCTCTTGATTCATGGAAACCCCTGTTTCCATCTTATTATGAATTTATCAATGCTGATGAGCAAATAACTCCACGTTATTAACTATAATGATTATGATTGTTAACTCTTTATTTCAAGTCTAGTTAGCACTCATTTCTGTCTCCTATAGAACGCTCCAATCCGTGCCCGCCATCAAACTTAGTACCGCTGACATCATACCATCTTCTTATAATAATGATAATGTCTGAATTTTTTCAGCTTGTCTGGTGGTTTTGGTATGGCAGACAAAACCCTTGCACCGGTTCTTTCGGAGCGCACAACAACGACTGGGAACACATCACCATCAACTTTATCAAGGACGGTTCTGGTGCATGGAAGCAAGACAGCGTGACCTGGTTCCAACACGATGGTTGGTATACAAGACGCAACACTGCTAAGAGTCCCAGTGTTTACGTGGGCAAGAACGCTCACGGAAGTTACGACAACTGGTGTGATGGCAAAGGATTTGTTTGGGAGCAGGTAAGCCGGAAAACCGACGGTGGCTGTTTTTACAGCGCTCGAGGTGGGTACTATCCAAATGTCTCTACATACTTCTTCCTGTTATAAGGAAAACAACTGAATATGTGTTATTGTTTTCTCACAATATAATTGAAAACGTTACAAGACTAACTTAACTTTATAATGTTGTCACTCAGAAATGATTGAATGATATGTGCCAAAAAAATTAAGTGAAATGAAACAATTATTCGCCTCGGGCTCAGCAAATATTGGTCGCCGATATTCACTTCAGTAGTTGCTAATTCGCCTTACAATAGGGTAGCCAATCAGATCGCGCGCTTACTCATATCCAATCATTGTCTAAAAGTATATGATAAATGAGATTCAGTATGTTAATACTTTTTCATAACATTGTTTACATTCCTAGGATTATTGCGCTGGAGGGTGTGGCTACTGGGATGATTTCCGTAACGACAGAAAGGGAAGACGTTGGACACCAACCAACATCAAGCACGTGTCTGAGGTAACTCATCAAAAAGGGGTCCATTCTGGTGATATATGGTATCTTAATCTCTGTTAATACGGTCACCAAAGGAACAAATCAAGACTCACCATATTATAAGGTTATCCCGGCGTACTAGTCAACGACGTACGCGCTAGTTGCCCGTTCGTAACCTTCTGCTCATCGGTTTTCAGTCGGTTTTGTGCGCGCACACTCTTCATAATGACGTCATTCGAAGGTTTTGATGTGGGAATGATATCAAAAACGCTTCTTCAAACTCTTAAATTTTTTCAAAACGTAAGGAAACCACACTTTTTATTTTATATAATCAAAACGCACATCAAAATGTATGTTCAGTCAGTTTTCTCAAAAATTTGACATTTATTTTTCTAAACGCGAAAAGCGACATTATTACTGGAGACACGCCTGGTTTTACTTCGCTTCTACCGAATACGTCTAAGTGTGTGTACCATAGAAAACTCACTCTATAAGAAAATATTCCGGCATTAACATTCTAATACTTATAATTATTTCCATAATATATCCTCATGCATCATCACCAACATCAGTTGTTATCTTATTGTATCATTCTCTCTAGGTTACTGGTAGGATCAATAGAATCAAAAACGAGAAATATTTTGCGGACACCAGGCGTAACAAGTGTATTGGTGCCAATTCGCGCTGTGTGAAGGGACCATGTGGATGCTGGCGAAATAACCACACTTTCCCAGCCCCTAAATGTAATGTCTAAAAGACGAAATTAATGAAACCAGGGAAATAAACCATCAGTGAATACTCTGACAAAAATACATATGTATGTGTGTGTTTTTTATATGTGGTTTTCAACCAGTTATTTCATGATTATTGATGCATACGTCATACATTGGTCAATGCAGTCAAGGAATCATTCACTCCTGCATCCATTGAGGGCGCATGCCCTCAAGGAAAGTTCTGAACTTTAGACCCTCGAAAATCCAACTTCTAGTGTTTTGGGGACTGCGAAATCGCAACCTTGTGTTTCAAAGCTTCAAAAATGCCAATAAGACTTCAAACACGCCGGCTTGCAAACAAAATTTTTGTTGTAAAATATAAATGAACTAAATCTAAGAGAATCACCAGGGAGCCATTAATTTTAAATCACAATTGTTCCAAATTTTGAGTGATGTCCGCTTTTTAAATCTTTCATTTATGACTGATACCCCCTCTCTTACTCAACAACATCCTGGATTTTGAATTGTAGTTGAAGCATTTTGATAGTTGGCATGTTGATGACTCCGGAAAGGTTGCAAAAATCTTTTGTCAGAGGTTGCGATTGGAATTCCTCTATCTCGCTGAATGCAGACTAAAAGTAACAAAGGTAAACTTTTCAACCGCGTTATTGTCCACAGCCGAATATTGATTCTAAATATGGATACAGAGAATGATTCAGAAAATTTGATCGAACCCCATCCTCTGAGTCATGCGCGATATTGTAAGGCAAAGCAGCGAGAGACGCTAACGAATGCATAGCACTCTAGGGTAGGTGAAAATTGTATACGCGATGTCACAATTCTGTATACCTTCGGTAGACAATTTTCATAACATACATTCAGTATACTTTTACATATATTTTCCGCAAACAATCCACATACCATTTATACCCTCTTTCTGAAATTTTGAAATTAAGCGAAAATGAAAAGGGCGATGTTTTTGACACGACAAAAAATTGAATTTTTTTTTTTAAATTTTGCAATAATTGCACATTCATTTAAGAGAATGTCTTTGGCATATAGTATTATTACTGGAAAGTTTCTGGCGAGTTTGATTTATTTTAAATCAATGTGTCTACAAAAAAGTACAAATGCAAAAAAGTTTTAACGAATTCTTCCTGCAAGTGTTCGACCATTAGCATGGTTTGCATTTGGTTTCAGATTCACAACGCCAATCGCTTTCCCTAAAGATAACCCCAACCCTAAACCTAGGGTTAAGCTTAGGGTTAGGGTAAGGGCTACCTTGGAGTCACTTCCAGGATAAAAATGTTTTCATCTACACAAGTTTGACAGGTTTTCCCTGGACGTCTACGTTGATAGTCATGTTTTGCAGTTGGTTTCAGATTCTCAACGCTTATCGTTTTTCCAGGAGTTAACCCCAACCCTAACCCTAGGGTTAAGGTTACGGTTAGGGTTAGGGTTAGCTCGGGATCACTTCCAAGAAAAAAGATGTTTGATCCTCACAAGTTTTAAAGATTTTAGCCTAGAAGTCTTTCACGATACTCATCTTTTGCATTTGGTTTCAGATTCAAAACGCTTATCGCTTTCCCAGGAGTTAACCCCAACCGTAACCCTAGGGTTAAGCTTAGGGTTAGGGTTAGCGTTAGCTTGGAGTCACTTCCAGGATAAATATTTTTTCGTCTACACAAGTTTTAAAGATTTTTCCCTGAACGCCTACGAAGGTGCTAATCTTTTGCATTTGGTTTGAGATTCTTAAAGTTTATCATTTTCCCAGGAGTTAACCCCAACCCTAACCCTAGGGTTAAGCTTAGGGTTAGGGTTAGGGTTAGCTTGGAGTCACTTCCAGGATAAAACTTTTTTCGTCTAAACAAGTTTTAAAGATATTCCCTGAACGTCTACGACGATACTAATCTTTTGCATTTGATTTCAGATTCTCAACGCTTATCGTTTTCCAAGGAGTTAACCCCAACCCTAACCCTAAGGTTAACCTTAGGGTTAGGGTTAGGGTTAGCTTGGAGTCACTTCCAGGATAAAAATTTTTTCGTCTAAACAAGTTCTAAAGATATTCCCTGAACGTCTACGACGATACTAATCTTTTGCATTTGGTTTCAGATTCCCAACGCTTATCCTTTTCCCAGGAGTTGACCCCAACCATAACCCTAGGGTTAAGCTTAGGGTTAGGGTTAGGGTTAGCTTGGAGTCACTTCCAGGATAAAAAATTTTTCGTCTAAACAAGTTTTAAAGATTTTTCCCTAAATGCCTACGAAGATACTAATCTTTTGCATTTAGTTTCAGATTCTTAAAGCTTATCGTTTTTCCTGGAGTTAACCCCAACCCTAACCCTAGGATTAAGCTTAGGGTTAGGGTTAGGGTTAGCTTAAAGTCACTCCAGGATAAGAATTTTTTCTTCTAAACAAGTTTTAAAGATATTCCCCGAACGTCTACGACGATACTAAAATTTTGCATTTGGTTTCCGATCCTTAAAGCTTATCGTTTTCCCAGGAGTTAAATCCAACCCTAATCCTAGGATTAAGCTTAGGGTTATGGTTAGGGTTAGCTTGGAGTCACTTCCAGGATAAAAAATTTTTCGTCTACACAAGTTTTAAAGATTTTTCCCTGAACGCCTACGACGATACTAATCTTTTGCATTTGGTTTCAGATTCTCAACGCTTATCGTTATCCCAGGAGTTAACCCCAACCCTAACCCTAGGGTTAAGCTTAGGGTTAGGGTTAAGGTTAGCTTGGAGAAACTTTCAGGATAAAAATTTTTTCGTCTAAACAAGTTTTAAAGATATTCCCTGAACGTCTACGACGATACTAATCTTTTGCATTTGGTTTCAGATTCTCAACGCTTATCGTTTTCCCAGGAGTTGCCCCCAACCCAAACCCTAGGGTTAAGCTTAGAGTTAGGGTTAGGGTTAGCTTGGAGTCACTTCCAGGATAAAAATTTTTTCCTCTACACAAGTTTTAAAGATTTTTCCTTGAACGCCTACGAAGATACTAGTCTTTTTCATTTGGTTTAAGATTGTCAACGCTTATCGTTTTCCCAGGAGTTAACTCCAACCGTAACCCTACGGTTAAGCTTAGGGTTAGGGTTAGGGTTAGCTTGGAGTCACTTCCAGGAGAAAATTTTTTCGTCTACACAAGTTTTAAAGATTTTTCTCTTAACGCCTACAAAGATACTAATCTTTTGCATTTAGTTTTAGATTTTCAACGCTTATCGTTTTTCCAGTAGTTAACCCCAACCCTAACCCTAAAGTTAAGCTTAGGGTTAGGGTTAGGGTTAGCTTGAAGTCACTTCCAGGATAAAAATGTTTTCGTCTAAACAAGTTTTAAAGATATTCCCGGAACGTCTACGACGATACTAATCTTTTGCATTTGGTTTCAGATTCTCAACGCCTATCGTTTTCCCAGGAGTTAACCCCAACCCTAACCCTAGGGTTAAGCTTAGGGTTAGGGTTAGGGTTAGATTGGAGTCACTTCCAGGACAAAAAATTTTTCGTCTCCACAAGTTTTAAAGATTTTTCCCTCAACGCCTACAAAGATACTATTCTTTTGCATTTGGTTTCAGATTCTCAAAGATTATCGTTTTCCCAGGAGTTAACTCCAACCCTCAACCTAGGGTTAAGCTTAGGGTTAGGGTTAGGGTTAGATTGGAGTCACTTTCAGGATAAAAAATGTTTCGTCTACACAAGTTTTAAAGATTTTTCCCTAAACGCTTACGAAGATACTAATCTTTTGCATTTGGTTTGAGATTCTTAAAGTTTATCGTTTTCCCAGGAGTTAACCCCAACCCTTACCCTAGGGTTAAGCTTAAGGTTAGGGTTAGGGTTAGATTGGAGTCACTTCCAGGACAAAAATTTTTTCGTCTAAACAAGTTTTAAAGATATTCCCTGAACGTCTACGACGATACCAATCTTTTGCATTTGGTTTCACATTCTCAACGCTTATTGTTTTCCCAGGAGTTAACCCCAACCCTAACCCTAGGGTTAACCTTAGGGTTAGGGTTACGGTTAGCTTGGAGTCACTTCCAGGACTAAAAATATTTCGTCCACACAAGTCTTAAAGATTTTTCCCTGAACGCCTCCGAAGATACTAATCTTTTGTATTTGGTTTCAGATTCTCAACGCTTATCGTTTTCCCAGGGCCGGAGTTAACCCCAACCCTAACCCTAGGATTAAGCTTAGGGTTAGGGTTATGGTTAGCTTAAAGTCACTCCAGGATAAAAATTTTTTCGTCTAAACAAGTTTTAAAGATATACCCTGAACGTCTACGACGATACTAAAATTTTGCATTTGGTTTCCTATCCTTAAAGCTTATCGTTTTCCCAAGAGTTAAATCCAACCCTAATCCTAGGATTAAGCTTAGGGTTAGGGTTAGGGTTACCTTAAAGTCACTCCAGGATAAAAATTTTTTCGTCTAAACAAGTTTTAAAGATATTCCCTGAACGTCTACGACGATACTAGTCTTTTGCATTTGGTTTCAGATTCTATACGCCTATCGTTTTCCCAGGAGTTTACCCCAACCCTAACTCTAGGGTTAACCTTAGGGTTAGGATTAGGGTTAGATTGGAGTCACTTCCAGGACAAAAAATTTTTCGTCCACACAAGTCTTAAAGATTTTTCCCTGAACGCCTACGAAGATACTATTCTTTTGCATTTGGTTTCAGATTCTCAAAGATTATCGTTTTCCCAGGAGTTAACCCCAACCCTAACCCTAGGGTTAAGCTTGGGGTTAGGGTTAGGGTTAGCTTGGAGTCACTTTCAGGACAAAAATTTTTTCGTCAACACAACTTTTAAAGATATTTCCTGAACATCTACAACGATACTAATCTTTTGCATTTGGTTTCAGATACTCAACGCTTATCGTTTTCCCACGAGTTAACCCCAACCCTAACCCTAGGGTTAAGCTTAGGGTTAGGGTTAGGGTTAGCTTAAAGTCACTTTCAGGATAAAAACTTTTTAGTATACACAAGTTTTAAAGATTTTCCTTGAACGTCTACGACGATACTAATCTTTTGCATTTGGTTTCAGATTCTTAAAGCGTATCGTTTTCCCAGGAGTTAACTCCAACCCTAACCCTAGGGTTAAGCTTAGGGTTAGGGTTAGGGTTAGCTTGGAGTCACTTCCACGATAAAAAATTTTTCCTTTACACAAGTTTTAAAGATTTTTCCCTGAACGCCTACGAAGATACTAATCTTTTCCATTTGGTTTCAGATTCTCAGCGCTTATCGTTTTCCTAGGAGTTAACCCCAACCCTAACCCTAGGGTTAAGCTTAGGGTTAGGGTTAGGGTTAGCTTGGAGTCACTTCCAGGATAAAAAATTTTTTGTTCACACAAGTTTGAAAGATTTTTCCCTGAACGCCTGCGAAGATACTAATCTTTTACATTTGTTTTTAGATTCTTAAAGCTTATCGTTTTCCCAAGAGTTAACCCCAACCCTAACCCTAGGGTTAAGCTTAGGGTTAGGGTTAGGGTTAGATTGGAGTCACTTCCAGGACAAAAAATTTTTCGTCTACACAAGTTTTAAAGATTTTTCCCTGAACGCCTACGAAGATACTAATCTTTTGCATTTGGTTTCAGATTCTCAACGCTTATCGTTTTCCCAGGAGTTAACCCCAACACTAACCCTAGGGTTAAGCTTAGGGTTAGGGTTAGGGTTAGCTTGGAGTCACTTCCAGGATAAAAATTTTTTTTGTCTAAACAAGTTTTAAAGGTATTCCCTGATCGTCTACGACGATACTAATCTTTTGCATTTGGTTTCAGATTCTCAACGCTTATCGTTTTCCCAGGAGTTAACCCCAACCCTAACCCTAGGGTTAAGCTTAGGGTTAGGGTTAGGGTTAGCTTGGAATCACTTTCACGATAAAATGTTTTTCGTCGAAACAAGTTCTAAAGATATTCCCTGAACGTCTACGACGATGCTAATTTTTTCATTTGGTTTTAGATTGTCAACGCTTATCGTTTTTCCAGGAGTTAACCCCAACCGTAACCCTAGGGTTAAGCTTAGGGTTAGGGTTAGGGTTAGCTTGGAGTCACTTCCAGGATAAAAATTTTTTCGTCTAAACAAGTTTTAAAGATATTCCCTGAATGCCTACGAAGATACTAATCTTTTGCATTTGTTTTTAGATTCTTAAAGCTTATCGTTTTTCCAAGAGTTAACCCCAACCCTAACCCTAGGGTTAAGCTTAGGGTTAGGGTTAGGGTAAGATTGGAGTCACTTCCAGGACAAAAAATTGTTCGTCTACACAAGTTTTAAAGATTTTTCCCTGAACGCCTACGAAGATACTATTCTTTTGCATGTGGTTTTAGATTCTCAAAGATTATCGTTTTCCCAGGAGTTAACCCCAACCCTAACCCTAGGGTTAAGCTTAGGGTTAGGGTTAGGGTGAGCTTGGAGTCACTTCCAGGATAAAAATTTTTTCGTCTACACAAGTTTTAAAGATATTTCCTGAAGTTCTACGACGATACTAATGTTTTGCATTTGGTTTCAGATTCTCATCGCTTATCGTTTTCCCAGGTGTTAACCCCAACCCTAACCCTAGGGTTAAGTTTAGGGTTAAGGTTAGGGTTAGCTTTTGGGTCACTTTCAGAATAAATATTTTTTCGTCTACACAAGTTTTAAAGATTTTTCCCTGAACCTCTACGACGATACTAATCTTTTGTATTTGGTTTAAGATTCTCAACGCTTATCGTTTTCCCAGGAGTTAACCCCAACCCTGACCCTAGGAATAAGCTTAGGGTTAGCTTGGGGTTACCTCCAGGATATAAAATTTCCATCTACATAAGTGTTAAAGATTTGTCCTTGAACGACTACGACGATACTCATGTTTTGCATTTGGTTTCAGATCGTCAGCGCTTATCGTTTTCCCAGGAGTTAACCCAATCCTAACCCTAGGGTTAAGCTTAGGGTTTGGGTTAGGGTTAGATTGGAGTCACTTCCAGGACAAAAAATTGTTCGTCTACACAAGTTTTAAAGATTTTTCCCTGAACGCCTATAAAGATACTATTCTTTTGCATGTGGTTTTAGATTCTCAAAGATTATCGTTTTCCCAGGAGTTAACCCCAACCCTAACCCTGGGGTCAAGCTTAGGGTTAGGGTTAGGGTGAGCTTGGAGTCACTTCCAGGGTAAAAATTTTTTCGTCTACACAAGTTTTAAAGATATTTCCTGAACTTCTACGACGATACTAATCTTTTGCATTTGGTTTCACATTCTCAACGCTTATCGTTTTCCCGGGAGTTAACCCCAACCCTAACCCTAGCGTTAAGCTTAGGGTTAGGGTTAGGGTTAGCTTTGAGTCACTTCCAGGATAAAAATTTTTTCGTCTACACAAGTTTTAAAGATTTTTCTCTTAACGCCTACGAAGATACTAATCTTTTGCATCTGGTTTTAGATTTTCAACGCTTATCGTTTTTCCAGGAGTTAACCCTAAACCTAACCCTAAAGTTAAGCTTAGGGTTAGGGTTAGGGTTAGCTTGAAGTCACTTCCAGGATAAAACATTTTTCGTCTACACAAGTTTTAAAGATTTTTCTCTTAACGCCTACGAAGATACTAATCTTTTGCATCTGGTTTTAGATTTTCAACGCTTATCGTTTTTCCAGGAGTTAACCCTAAACCTAACCCTAAAGTTAAGCTTAGGGTTNAGATTCCCAACGCTTATCGTTTTTCCAGGAGTTAACCCCATACCTAACCCTAACCCTTACCCTAGCCATTGGGTAAGGGTTAGGGTTAACTCAGGTTAAAATTATTAGCGTTGAGAATCTCAAACCAAATGCAAAAGATGCGTACTTCCAAGACGTCTAGGGAAAATTTGTTAAAACTTGTTAGGATAAAAAATTTTCGATCCTGGAAGTAAAACTACGCAGTCTCTCTCTTACCCTAACCCCAATGCGAGGGTTAGGGTTTGGATAACTCCTGGGAAAGATTGGCGTCCAGAATCAGAAAGCAAATGCAAAAGATATGTATCGTCGAAGACTTCTAGGGGAAAATCATTAAAACTTGTCAGGCAAAAATTTTGGATCTTTGAAGTAAAACTAAGCTAACCCTAACCAAACCCTAGGGTTAGGATTAGGGTAAAACTAAGTTAACCCTGACCTTAGGGTTTGGTTATGGTTAGGGTTAGCTTAGTTTTACTTCCAGGATAAAATCCTTTTTAATCTAACTCGTTTTAAAGATCTTTCCACACTAGTCTTTGACAACATGCATTTTTTGTATTTGGTTTCAGTTTCTCAGGGCCAATTGTTTTTCCTGGAATTAACCCCTACCCTAACCCTAGGGCTAGGGTAAGGGGGACCTTAGGCTTACTCTCAGGGTCGAAAATTTTTTATCTTAACAATTTTTAGAGATTTTTCCCTAGACGTGTTCGACGTTACGCATCTTTTTCGTTTGGTTTCAGATTCTTAACGCTAATTGTTGTCCCTGGAACCAACTCTGTTCCTTCTCAGTCAATAAGTACATAGAGTATTTTTCAAAGGACTTTGAAATAGCTACTAACCTAATAGATGCTAGTAGACCCAAAATCTAACGTTTTCTTTTGTTAAAAGAAATGGCTATTACACAACATGACCTGTATATGACGTCCACAAGGGGATTTGAAACCGGGCCACATTGGTGGGAGGTGAGTGCTCTCACCACTGCGTTATCCTTGCTCCCGCTGTCGGTTAACGGGTAAACCGACGTAAAATAAGGACCAGCGATGCCAGTGCCGTGGGAAGTCCTTGCCGACTCTGAAGCAAACTTGGTCAGTGGTATTTGAGGGATCAACCCTCCTCCTCAGTCTGTTTTGCTGTTGATTTGGTTAAGGTTTCCAATTGAGCAGAACACTTTTTAGACCGGTGTAGTAATTACACTGACGTACTCATTACAGACGGCAGTTCATCGCATCATGATAAAAATGGAAGGTAATTCACTATTTAAAGTAAGACTGAATTAAAACAAATTCTGGAAATAATATGCTCTCTGTATTTTTCAGGACCCTGTGAAGTAATAGGGTGAAAATTCAAATTATCAGCACTTTTTATTCTCGACTGAGCACAATTTTCTCCTGTATGCGTACGATGATATCCTAGTTCAATCGTCTTCTGGAACTGACGGTTTTAAAGTGACGTTCTGTATTTATTTTAGGAATAGACACATCGAAATCAGTCAATTTTTTAATTTGGTTCGTAAATTTTTAAGTGCTGCGATCACGACCAATCGACAACACCTCACCGTATCAGTGTTTAAAATGATCAAAAACCTGTCAGCGGGAGTTAAGCAAATTATTAGCTACGATAGGGAATAGGGAATATATCACATATATTATGACTAAAGGTTTTGTTACCAATGATAGCACCGACCATTGAAAATGGCAAAAACTGTTTACAAAAGGGAAATAGGCCGCGCCGATCGAGTCGATTAAGCTGAGGCCTGGGAACGATAAAGCGGACTACAAGATAGCTCACCTCAAAGTTGACCTGAGGTACAAGCGGATCAACAAAGGTTGCTGGGAAACTGCTCATCTACCCCTCCCCTGAGCATTAACACATTACATCAACACTTACTTCTCACTTTGGGCAAAATGATGACTTAGGGGAGGGGTAGGTGGACAGTTCACCAGAAACCTAATTGATCCACTTTCTCTTCTAAATAAGGTATAACTACCCTAAGTATCGTCTAAGCTGCCTTTAAGTCAAAACCTATAAGATGTCCTAGCCTTGGATAGCTTCCCGAATCCGATCGCTGATTGTGAAGCGTTTCTTTGGCTTACATCTTCCAACCTCTTTTCGTACACTTAAAATCAGGCTCCAGTTCAGTTAAACGTTGGAGGGCTCTATCCACCTGATAAATAATATCCAGCAGATAAATATCCGGAGAGCCAATTGCGTTATCCACTTGATAGATATTTATTCAATGGATGCCGTCATCCACCAATTGAACTGGACTACGAGAAAGCTGCCTCGTCCCAGTCTCTCGCTATCACTTTTTTCGGGGATATTTGAGTTAAGGTGGCTGAACACAGTTTTGGCAGTTTGTGATTACATGTCATTTGCCAAATCATGGCAAGAGAAAGGTTCCTGCTCACAAGCTGAAACTTGGCAAGTGAAAAGTGTACTGATAAAAGATTTTGATTGACAGAAAAAAATTGACGTTTTCGTAGTTTCCATGGCAACATGAACGATTGAATACAACCTTAAAATTTCACTTTTTCTCAGTTTACATAAAATTCGCTCATTAGATTTTCCTATTAACTTGCACACAGCTTACTATAATTAATCATTACCATTTGAAACTTATTTGACCAAATTTTAACAGACGGGTTTTTAGATAATCAATAATTTAATTGTACTGTAATTATTAAATGTGTCACAAAATTCGTCTGTTCAACTTCCATTTTAAAGTCGTCATTACTTAAAATACGATAAAAGGAAAAATTCTGCCAAATATCACAAAATTCTAATGACGAGATTTTGAGAAATCGTCTTCTATGTACCATTGCTTTTTCGCCGCCATGCTTGTTTGTCTAATTTAAAACACGCGCCGTCACGCAAGTTACCGCTGACCGCCCGCAAAACTGTGTTCAGCCACCTTAAAGAAAGCTCTGGGCTCGTCCCCGTCATGCCTCTCTCGCACTTCTCGCTTATCTGTTTGAGCGGAAAATTATTACTATTAGAAACTGGCGTTTGAGAGAAAGGTAGAAAACAACAGCAACATACCTCAAAGAGAATGACTGATCGAATGCTACAGTAAAAAAAGAAAAGGAAGGTGTCAGCTAACTGTTCGCAATAAACATAATTTTTATCTTCATTTGGGTTTGACGTCTTTAAAGGAACACATCCTCATCAACAACGCCCATTAAGTGGGAAAGATGTTTCTCAGTCAGTGAAACAGGCGGCTCCGAAGAAAAAATCCAAGTGCTGCCAATAGATCTGTCAATGACTGAAAAACATCTTCCTCAAGTATTTACCATACTTAAAATTCACTTTCAGTTAAGTTATCACGATCAACATTCTAGGAGTTTATACCAAAACATAAGATACTGGTAAACTGATGATTTTGCATACCTTTCCCCAGCACGCATGACATCAAATGCTTTATTTATTTCATCTAGAGACATTCTGTGGGTAATGAGTTTATCCAGATTCAAACGTCCAGCCAGGTATTCCTCGCATAATCTAGGAAACAGTTCCTTGGCTACAGACCCTAAAAATATATGCATCTCATTTGTTCTTCGGAAATGAATTAGGCAACGAGGTCGGTGAAAAGTGATGTAAATAAAAGCAATCCACAAGGATCAAGATAAGCACGTAGTGGGATCAGTGTTGTTCCTCGGAAAAAAAATCTGTTCTCAAACTTATTTAGAGCACTACTCGCTAACGCAGACGGGAGCCATGGGTTCGAATCCCGTTGAAGTCCCGAAATTTTTACGGGTAAATTTGCAATTGCTTACTGAATTACAATACCACTGCGACGATCATATCTTAATGAAATTTGTATTTCCGTAGTTCACATTATCTTCATTCTAAGTTTCATTCCTTTCATGGGTTAAGATGAACTCAACAAATTGGCCTGCTCCTAATCATGGGTCTTCATAGCTCAGTTGGTAGTGCACCTCAGCGCTAACGCAGAGGCCATGGGTTCGAATCCCGTTGAAGTCCCGAATTTTTTCGGGTTAATTTGCAATTGCTTATATTGCATATACCACAGCGACGATCATATCTTCATTTAAATTGTGTAGAAGTCTACTTTGTATGGAAGGAAGTTATCTTGACGGTTGGACTAAAGAGTATGGTCATTTACCACATATGGGAGTTCTTTTTTCCTAAACGTCGCGCCCACTTTTTATCTTAAGCATTCAACAAACCTCCCACTTTTGAACCTTTCACAGTCCGCCCACTCAGCAGTTTCCAAGGATTTAATGTCAGATCACGTTTTGTTCCTATTCCAATGATCACAGTCGTTCCCCATGCCAGGTGACTAGATTCAAATGCTGCTTCCTGCGACAAAACATAAGACTCGGATATGTGCTGATAATGACGTATCGCTAGTAAAATAAACGATATATACGACCGACCTCGTTTTATCCCCAGTTCAAGAGTGCTAAACGTCATAATTCTACAAAGCCTCAAATTCTATCTTCAGTGATAATATATAATAACAGAAGATATTCTTGCTTTGTTTTGCCAATCAAGGCCCGAGGAGAATTTTTTTGTCTGTTCGTAAATTATGTGTACATATTCAAGGGAATAACACAAAACTTGAAAGAAACTGTTCTCTGGAGTCTAGGGGGAAAAAAGAACACCTGATCGGAGGTTATACTTAAGAGAACAATAAATCGGAGAAAGAAACCCCGTTTACCATCGTTTCAGCATGGCCAATACATTCAAATGTGTAGTCCAGGCCACCGTCGGTCATTACTTTTAAGACCTGCGAGAATTAAACATCAAAGCATTATAGGTTATACTTGTGTATATTAAGGGAAAACAAATCTTTTACGTTTTCCATAAGAATTTAAAAAGAACTATTGGTAAGTGAAAGAACAAAAATGCCCTAGTTTGTTAGGGGGTTTCTCTAAATATTTCATAAAGAAAAAGTGTTAAGGTACAAGTATCTGGAGTGGGAATTTTCACAATGGCTCCTTTACATTGTATGTAGACATTGAGCATAATGAGTACTAGTTTATTACCTGTTGAATAGGCTTGGCATGATCATTAGGATTAAGACATTCAGTGCACCCCAAATCTTTAGCTGAATAAAAAGAAAAAATTCATTCCGTAGGACACTTGCAAGAAAAAGTTACAATCAGATTGATTATTTTGTCTTGCGGGATCAGTTAACAGGGAATTACCGATGAGGAGGAGTCCAGTTTTGAGGTCTTTCCAGGTGATGACTTCAACTTGACTTATATGGTGGTAGAGTTTACTTAGCTCAGTGAGTTGGTAGAACTCTGGTGTAGAGAGCCGGCTGAGGTCGCGAGCACGATTCCCACGACCGTGCCATTATTCAGGGTCTTGAAAGTAACTCAGGAAAAGGGTATTGCGTCATCTCCAATTGCAAATGGTTAAGCTTGGCTAGGACTTTGCGCAGCTCGCGGACCGTCTCCCAGAGAAGACGTAAAAATCGAGTCCCCCAAACAGCAGATGTGCTTTAAATACACCGACAGTTAAATGACGTTTTTTTTTATGAAATCCCTTTCAGACCTTACTACAAGTACGCTTCCCTCTTTATTTCGCCCGATAGTTTCGAAATCTTATGTTGCATAGAAATTAAATCAGACCAGAATTTTCAATTATTCTATGGCATATCGAGCTAAATTATAGGAAGGCATCGATCCCTGTCAGGAGCCCCTAACACGGAGCGAGCAAACCCCTCGTACCCATGCAACAGCGTTCTTACAAACCAATTAATTTTAGATCGATTTCGCAGCAAATTTTGAATATGAAATAAGTCTTACAAATCAGTCAACAAAAACCGGAAACTAAAAAATAAATGTATATCTCATGTTTTGATAGTATTTATTTCTTCTTTTTGTTATCGTACTATCTTGGATGCGCACGCATATGGAACGGTGTTTCCGCGGCAAAAAGAGCTTAAAATGAAGTGAAAACGCTGTTGCTTATGCTATTGGATTTGCTTGCTCTGAGTTATTGGATGAACTCGCACAAGCACGTGTACAAAAGTAAAGAGAGTTTTTTCATGACGATAACCCTTAATTCTACTGTAAACAGATGAAGTTTAAACTAATGCCTACCTACATCGAATTTTTCAGCTTTAATATCAATCCCAATGATCCTTGCAGCCCCAGCAGCCTTACATCCCATTACTACAGACAATCCGACTCCTCCCAGGCCCCACACGGCCACCTTGGACCCAGCCTCTACCTAAAAAGAGAGCACGTGTCATTAATTTTTATTTCCAAACTTAGTAAAGAAAAACAGAGAAAGTCGTAGAATACAGATAGGTGTCCGTAAGTAAGTCGTTATACAAAGAGAAATTCAAAGGAGGGTTTCCATCCCGGGAAGGGGGTGGGGGGGGGGCGAACTCAAGGAAAGTTTGAGCAGAGGTATGCTACCGAGGCCTTCAAACCCAAGACTTGTCTGTTCAAGACAAAAATCGTTCATTTTGCTCCCTTATTTAGAAAAAGAGAGAGCTCGTTGAATGACCCTGATTCATTTGTTTTGAATTAAATTAGCTACGCCGGATCATAGAATTAGATTTTTTGGGGAAAAAATTGTTGGTACCACAAATGTAGACTATTTAACGCCAACCTTCAAACTCTTTTAAAGGCTTCCGATCCACAAAGACACCATGTTTAAGACGCTAAAAAGTGGAATTATATACCCTGTTTGAGACTCAAGACTCCGAAAACCATACCCTGTTCAGCGACACCTACCCGTTTAGGCCAAATAAGAGTGTGCTCAGGAGTCCATAAGCGGGAGCGAGCAACTCTCATACCAGACCTATGTCACGCCGTTTATACGGGCCAGTTTATTTTTAGACACATTTGAGGGCACTTTTTCACGCGAAAATCGAATTTCAACCATGTCTATGAGAGCATTCGAAGTATAAGATATCAAAAAGGAAAAATGAACGTTATTATAAGGCAAAAAAATATTAATTTTAGGTCTGTAGGTTTTGCTGACTGGTTTTTAGAATTTAAAAGATATTCAAAATTCGCGCCAAAAAAATAAACTGGTCCGTCAAAACNGAGCAGAGAAGCGAAGGTTGTTGGCAGAGTGGTAGGGGTGGGGGGGAGGGGCGACGGGGGGGGGAGGTGGGGGGGGGGGGGTGGGGCCGGGGGGAGGGGGGGGGGGGGGGGGGGGGGGGGGGCGAACTCCAGGAAAGTTTGAGCAGACGTATGCTACCGAGGCCTTCAAACCCAAGACTTGTCTGTTCAAGACAAAAATCGTTCATTTTGCTCCCTTATTTAAAAAAAGAGAGAGCTCGTTGAATGACCCTGATTCATTTGTTTTGAATTAAATTAGCTACGCCGGATCATAGAATTAGATTTTTTGGGAAAAAAATTGTTGGTACCACAAATGTAGACTATTTATCGTCAACCTTCAAACTCTTTTAAAGGCTTCCGATCCACAAAGACACCATGTTTAAGACGCTAAAAAGTGGAATTATATACTCTGTTTGAGACTCAAGACTCTGAAAACCATACCCTGTTCAGCGACATCTACCCGTTTAGGCCAAATAAGAGTGTGCTCAGGAGTCCATAAGCGGAAGCGAGCAACTCTCATACTAGACCTATGTCACGCCGTTAATACGGGCCAGTTTATTTTTAGACACATTTGAGGGCACTTTTTCACGCGAAAATAGAATTTCAACCATGTCTATGAGAGCATTCGAAGTATAAGATATCAAAAAGGAAAAATGAAAGTTATTATAAGGCAAAAAAATATTAATTTTAGGTCTGTAGGTTTTGCTGACTGGTTTTTAGAATTTAAAAGATATTCAAAATTCGCGCCAAAAAAATAAACTGGTCCGTCAAAACGCCGTGACACGAGCGCATGGAAGTTGCTCGGCTCCGGGTTATGGGCTCCGGGTGTGATTGTGCCTTTTCTGGTTATTCGCCAGAACAGGAAGGATTCTGGATTAAGCGGCCAAGTAGTTGTGGATAAAGTCTCTAAAAAAGTGCCCCCCGGGAAATGTGCTATCTATCAGCCATATTTCGTTACCTTAACTGTATTGAGTGTTGCGCCGTATCCAGTCGACACACAGCAACCAATGAGGCATGCCCTGTCTAGCGGCATACTTTCAGCAATCTGTTAAAAAAAAAAGAAAAAATAATTGATATAACTTTAATTCTACCCGCGAAAACCGTTCTATTTTCTGGTCCAAAATACCAAAGTTCATAAAATCCCTTCCTCTGTGAAACGGACACTCACAGTCAGACACGTATTTTGTTTTGTTTTTTACAGCGTATAATATCCGATTGGCTGCTACCAGCTGCGGTGACAGTGTGCGCGCCACATGGCTAAGGTCCCATTTATACGGAGAAAAGTTGTCCCGGCTGAAGGGTCACATGCCTACGCGAGCTAGCCTTGGAGAGCCAAGTTCTCTTTAATTTCCTTACAAGACGTGCCGAACTGTCACATGAGGAATAAAGGCTGCCTCGGGCTAGAAGGGTCAACTTGGCCAAGGCATTACAATCAGAGCATGCGCGAGCACCCTTGGCTCAAACAAAGGAGTCAACTTTTTTCTCAAAAAGACCCTCGCTAAAGATGAATTTGCTGTGAGGGTGATCTTCTTTCCCGGGACGACTTTTCTCCATATAAACGGAGCCTAAGTATGAATAGCAATGTGCTCGCGCTGACCAGGTTCACTCAAAATGTTCAAAGCCTGGCCTCTGACCAGTGTCCATCAAGCCTTGTAACTTAGATTGTCCTTAAATTCGGCATGACAGTTTTAAATACTATGCAGTTTTGAAGTTTCTAATAATTCTACAAAAAAAATATGAACTACTTCACCTTTATAACACCTATTTCAGGAACAACACTGTATTCACCAAACGTGCTGACACCGTAATAATGGTACAATTGTCTTCCTTTGCATTTTAGTCGTGTTGTGCCATCTAACATTATTCCTGTTTCAAGTTCGTCCATTCTGTCAAGAAGAAGCGAATGTAAGAGTAATCTACTGACATCTCTTTACCAAATATCCATGGACAAAACGCTGCCTTTGATCACCTTTGAGTCGTGTCAAAGGTGTGGCGAAGATGATCTGAAACAGACAGCGAAGCCATTTTAAAGCGAAAACGTAGCAGGAAGTTAAGGTTATGCGAAGCGATGGTCTGTGGGTCAAATACATCCACATCCGATAACCATCTACTAGAGGAAACTACGAGGTGTGGGGGAAATCCTTTTTGAAAGGGACGGGATGTCGTTCTTCTCTCGTACTCATTGGTGAACACTGCGGATTCTGGTGGAAAACCGATATCCAGGTGTAGCTTAGGGTTTGCACAAATAAAGACCTAAATAAACATATTATTACCACAGTTAAAATCACAAAAGCTTTTATTTGATTATCTCGACAAGTATGGTCCCCTTTAGGAATCAAGTCAAGCCTGGGTCACGGCCATGCAGTTTGATCTCCCTGCGGTTTAAGGTGTTTCGATACAGTTTTTCGCAGACCATACTGACGTTTTTCAATCGCCTTAAAAGTAATTTTATCCTTGTCTTATCGCTACAAAATTTTCACCAGTGATGAACTATGAATTGAAGCTTGTCAAAATGCAGTTTCTAGTAAGATCGATATCACTATGACAACAACAAAAACAAACTTTAAAATCGATTAAATCCGAATTTCGCGCGATCTAGACCTGCTCCTGAAAATCCGACACCGAGGCGTGCCCAAGGGAACCTGTTCCCTTTCCCGCGCTGGGGAGTTTTCTCTGTGGCGTGAACACTTGAACAAAGGGTGTGTTGACACGTAAAGAGCTCAGTCGATAATCGTATACGGGCACCCTATTTGGGCACCAATTCGAGTGTAAACAAAGCCGAGGTCTCGTTTCCTTTACCTGCAACAAAGGTTGGTCTTAGGATTCCTGCAGTATGTGCATTCTCCACAGTTGGTTACGTATGACACTACCACGTGATCACCTTTAAGCACGGGGAGAATGAATGGAAAACTAGATCAGGGTTAGTTTGTGAATTAAGCGTCCACGGTGACATTTCTCTCCTGTCAGTTTTAAACTGCTCATAGCTAAGAATTAATCTGAGCACAGAAAAAAATTATCTTCCTAGATATGTTACTGCCCAAATTTATATCTTTGCTCTGGGATACATTTCTATGTAAATTTGTGTCCTCATTTTTCTGGAAATTTAAGCCCGTTTTTCACGAGGCTTACTAATTTCAGTATGATGAATATAATCTATCTGTGAGGATGTATTTTTCTTTCCATAAAAATCAGTAAAACATTGCAATTTTGCGTGGCATCACTGCAGAAGTCCATTAAGTCTGTGAAATTAGTACCATATGAAAATACTGCCAACTTTATTTAGTTACTTGGCTTGACAGACGTTACTCCCTCGCCAATGCTCTCCACAATTCCGGCTCCTTCATGTCCAATTATGCAGGGAAATACAGCATTTTCATAGCCACCGTTGAAATAAGTCAAATCTGAGTGGCAGACACCTGCTGCTACCATCTTGATGCGTACTTCTCCTGTGCCGGGTGGGTTAACCTCAACTGTCTCTACAACAAGAGGCTTACCATTCTCCCAGGCTACCGCTGCACGGCAGGATATAGGCTGGCAATAGAAACAGCAATGATAGAAGCGCCACCCTTAATTTTTGCTTTGTTTTCTGCTGCTACTGCAGCTCCAAAGTCGAAGTTTGCGATCAGGGTTTTTCAAAGACATACAGATTTATAATCGAGGGTATACAGGGTATGTTGGCTTCTTCTAACGGCCATCCCCGGTTGGGGGGTGAGGAGGGGAGTCGGTAGAGTATTGTAGGAGCTGCTCGGAGGGTCTCTCCTAATTATTGGATTGTTTGGGGTCAGGGAAACGCACCACTGGTGACTTCTCTTCCGAGCAGCTGCTACATAGTCAGCTCCCATCTAAAAACCGGGTATACTTGTCGTCTGGCTTAAGGTTTAAATTGCACATTTTGGTCTCATTTTGGGTATTCTGGACGGAAATCAATATTTTTATCCATGAAGGTATCCCTCACGGTTGCGCATAAAAATTATCTCTAGAGCATTTTCTTACGACGTCACGGCGACCATGTTGGTGTTCCAAACCAATCCAGTGGGAGTTTGTAAACGCTTTCTTTTGTTCTAATTAATTAGCTATGCCGAGCGAGTGAAAACAATTGAAATCACTTTAGTTCACAGTCTCTTTTAGGGGTCAAACAAAATCCAGATTGACGACGAGTATCTCCGTCCTTCATATTGTTGGTTTTTAAATGACGTCACTGAAATTCAAACTACATAACTATCGATCCTACTGAGATTTTACTTTCATGATGTATTAGAGCAGCTGAAGACTAATTTTCATGCAAATTTTCGCTTCAAAAGGGTTCGTGGTTTTGTGATAGAGTACGCTTGAATTTTTAAGCTTTTGCGTGACGTTGCATTTACATGACGGCCGAGAGAGCTGTCACGTAGGTTAAAAAAGTGATGTATTTCCGGAATTTTGCTATCTAAACAGTTCATGGATAAGAAAAAGTATTACTTTAATGTTTATGAGTTCCTCGAGGAATAAATTCACGTTTTTGTAGCAAAACTCGGTAACAGATGTATCTCTTGGTTTCCGTCCGCCATGTTGGTGCCCATGCAGGTGGGCACCAGCATGGCGTCTCCATACAAATCTCTATAAATTTGGGTAAAACATTTCTTCAGATATCTCGTATACGAAATATTCCGTCTGACCTGAATCTTGGCGAGGGTCTTTGTATATTTACCTCCTCTCATTTCCCAGATTCCGGACTTTATCTATAGAACGGTTTTTATTTTTTTATTTTGATCTATTTTGAATGGCGTGACACTAAAAACCTGCAATTGTGGCCTCCCCCCGAGTGACTTCCCTTAACCCTTTAAGCCCCAATATCCACATACAAATTCTCCAAACTGATCTCTATACATTTCCTTAAAGAATGAGCTGAGAGAATTTGAGAAAAGATCAAAGTATTTTCTCTTAGGTGATCATTTAATTAATTCTCATAACCTCATCTCATGATAATGTATGGATATCGTTAGGAGAAAATTGCTGTTGGTCACTATTGAGACTTAAAGGGTTAAACAACGGGCCTCGGTGGACAGCCCCCCACAATACTCTTGTTTTAACAATCAGCCATGTTATTACCATGCACTTAAGCATGTCCCCACCCCTGACAAGTTTTTCGCGCTAGTGATCTATTTTATTTATATATTATTTTTCCTTTTTGTGCAACACCATCTTTGTAAATGATAGTGCAAAATAAACATTGTTACTGTTACTGTTGTGATGTATAGAAATTTCTAATATGTCTTGTCACTAACGGTGACAATTTAAACAGTGCTACCTGTTCATTCAGTGACCACAAAAACTTTCTAAGTGGGTACGGATACTGTGAACCTGTGGTGAAAAGGACAGTTTTTCCTCCCGTAAATCTTGTCTGAAAAGATCCATGTTTTACAAGTCCAGTCTAGTCCTTATTTTACAAATCCTTGTTTTACAAATCAGGTCCAGTCCAGTCCAATCGGGTGGCCATTTCCGTCACGGCTTAAGGGAAGGTCGCGTGACGAAGGCACCAATATTTTATCGGATGCAAATGATGATATGACAAAATAACAATTAATTTAACATAGCACGAGAATGCACATTCAAACTTCGTAAAATCTTGATATCGAAATGGGTTTTATAAGGACCTGGATATGGAAAAAGACTTGTACTCGTTCCCAAATAAATAATCAACGCTTATTTTGTTTGGATTGCTGTCAATATGCAAAACAACCGTTCTTTGATACGAGACAAGGGGTTTCCCATCTCGTCTCGAGGTGCATGACCAAGAATGCTGACTGCCGAAACTAGTAGCCTCTCTGCCTCTTCTTTGTCTTTTAAAATAGGTGTCTGTTTGATAAACAATACCTGATAATCAAGATGCCGAAGTCCATGTATGTCAATTTTAGCGAATTTCTAGCCACAGTCAGCAATGAATTCTACCAATTGGTCACCCTAGGGGAACAGACGAGCGGCCTCGTAGTGAAGGTTTCCGTTCTGAATTGATCTTCTGAAAATTTAGCCCGCTTAGACTAAGATAAGTAACAGCCAAATAGAGGATGTTCGCGTGATAGGCTGCTAGATACAGAAGTTCCACTGATCATGAATTCTCCAGTCGACTTCTCAATTAAACAGTTAATTCCATAGTAGTTTCCATACCTTACCTTTCCCTCCGTCTCCAACATAACTTGTTAAAGTGAAAAAAATCAGATATCGTGTGGTCCGTTTACAACTTTGCTATTATCCAGCAGTCGCTGTACTTGGAGTCACCTCACGAAGAAGGCAAGAAATTCGTGACTGTGGTGACTTGCTGGCAAGGGGACAGAGAAGGCATCCCCCATACACGCCCTATTCCATAGGTAATTCGTCTCGAGTTATTTTTAGAATCGGGATAAAGTTACCTCGCCCGCTGCGTGGATGTTTCGTGGAGGTTTCGCATGACTAAACGCCGTGCAAAACATTTCGGGCGAAAGGCAATGAAAGATCGAGAGCATTTCTGAATATTGAAGCAAAATGAGTCGGCGCTTACCTGGGAAAAGGGAATCGCTGGACTCTTTGACAACCCATGAAATCAGTTTAACTCGAAGTTGTCGTAACCTCAGTACTTTAATAAAATGAGAAATTTCGCCGGTCTATTGAAACCGGTCGTTTGTACAATAAAGCAAGTAGGACGCCAAGTGTTATTTTTGTTGAAAAATAAAAGACTTTATAAAAGAATAAACATCAAACCAGAAATTGCTCTCTTCAAACTATAAATTATAAATGATCCTGAGAGAATATTCAGTGTGTTAAGGATTTCCCTGTTGTACTGCTAGCTCTATACAAGAGAGAAAGGGCGATTCTTTTTTAATTTCCATTTCGCTGACACAGCTTTAGCAGAAATGTCTCTTTAGTCGTTTTCGTTGACAAAACGAATAGCAATATCGCTCTCCGCGTCTTCCGCCATTTTTTTCAGCGTCAATTTGTAAAGGACTTGTGGCTCTGAGCGTGGGTCATCCACGCGGAACACATTCGCGTTATGTGATTGGCTGTTGTCTAATCCCCCTCGGGATCTGTGGTCTTAAAAATAACTCGAGACGAATTACCTATGGAATAGGGCGTGTATGGGGGATGCCTTCTCTGTCCCCCTTATCCTCTCTTGAGCATATACCAGTACTTGTTTGGGGTATGAATGTTGTTTTCAACCACATGATAATGTGACCAGACAGTCATATTTTTTCAAGCCCTTATCCACGAACCTCAGGCTAAACAAAAACCCTGTATGTTCCTGTTTTTTTTTTTAATCAGCTTCTATCATGTTTCTTTGGAAACAGTGTTTATTTAATAGTTGTTTCATCCTAAGACAAAGGTCATTATTTCAAAGATAATATATTTTCTAGGCGTTATATAGCCTTGTGGAAGACAAGTGTTTCCTCATGAAAAAAAAATTAAGGTTCTACTATTAACCAGGAAATTAAAGTTTGCTTCCCAGTTGTATTCTAGTAGTTAACAATTTTATATAACATTTTTAAAAACGTTACAGTTCGCTTTTTCAAAGACCTGACTGAAAAGTACCTAAGGTCATTATACACTTATACTTGAAAATAACAAAACAACTTGCTTTACTATGAAAATTGATTTGAAAAAGTTTAGAGACGGCGTTTCCACGGTGGTCCGCAAGCAAATTTCCTTTCTCTGCTGTGAGCTTTTTATCCCCGCTTCTCAGGCGGTGTTGGACACGGTCCACGTGACCAATTTTGTCCAATCACGTTATTGCAGATGGCGGACTGATTCTTTCCCCTTTGTGCGGGTAGTCTCTTCGATTTTCTTCGCTTTTCGCCGTTTATCAAGTGGTTTACGAATATATTTTTTGGAAAAGTTTGAGCAGACAGATGTAGCAAGCCGCAGTTCTTAAAACAATATAATGTATGTTTGTTTTCTATTGATATTGTTCTTTGGAATTCTTCATGCGCATAATTCCTTTGTTTAGTTACGAGCCATTGTTTATGCTTTTCAGTGTATATATTCTCAGTGTTTAACGACCCCTGACCTCCAGTTTTAGCATAATCTATTAGTTTTGTTGTTCAAGTATCTGAAATGGTCGGCGGGGCCCGCTGGGCCCCGCCGTTTTAAGGGTCAAAATGCCACTTGAAGTTTACCTACGTGCGTGAATCGTGACTCCATTCCGCGGCATCTTTAGTATTATAAATATACTCGCGCTGTCACGATCGAATCAGCTTAGAATACTTTTAATACACGATCAGCTTAGACTACTTTCTTTCATTCCCTTTTTATTCGTCTTAAAAAATATGATATTTTTTTGTGATATATATGTCATCGAAGCGGCTCTTAGTCCTTTCTTTTTGAATAGTTCCTTGGCTTCTTCCTTCTGCCCTTGTCTGCAAGGAGTTAAACCTTCTCTGCGAGATTCTTCACGATTCCTAATAAATCGTACAAAAAAACAACGGACAAATAAAACTTAATTTATACGGACTAAAATGAATAGAAAACCTCCGCTAACTTGCTGTTGTCCTCAACAAAAACAAGTTAAGGAAGGAGAATTCCACATTTGCCTTGCGCTCCAGCTTCTGGAAAACCAGAATAGGTTACATATTATTTTCGATGAGAAGATCAGTATCCTTCATGCACATGTCAATGTACCTGGAAAAATCTGAGGTGGGATGAGCAACTAAAGAGAAGCTTACGTTCAAAATCAAGCACTTTAACCACATGTAAGAACGAAGTGTTGATACGTACCGCGTTGTTTCGATCCCTAAAATTATCCCTTTTACACAGAAAATAACAGTTTTGTGAAGCCAGCAGTAAAAGTCGATTGCGGCCACCTTTCCGGAGAAAGATCTCAAATGAACATCGCATGTTATATCTTTTAAAAGCGGAAGAAGACCTGTAATGCCCATATCACACTGTTTCTCCCGGTATTTTTATGGCGTAACGAGAGATGTGAACAGAGCGAAGGTCAGATGCAAATAAGCCGTTTTTGATTTTTTCCCCATGATGCCCTTCGGACCGTGTCCAACACCGCCCGCTTCTTATACATTTCTCAAATACGGCTTCTTGTCACTAGTTGTCCGTAACTAAATTTAAATGGAAAATTAAACCCTCGTTTGAGCTGGGTACTTGAAACATCAAGCGTCGACAGTTTTACCACTAATAAAATCATTTTGTCAAGGGTTGTTAACTTATAAAATTCGACACCGGCTGAGCTTGTCGATAAATTTAAAGCAGAAAAGAAATCGTCAAAACCGTGATAAAAATAATTAAAATTTATTTCCGGTTTTCTTGTGGTTTGTAGAAAATTAGGCTGTGCATTTTTAATAGGTGTTTTGTAGCTGTATACATGTAAGTTTTCGTATAGTTTTTATTTAGTCAGGCTTTCCGTTTGGTGCATAAAATTATCTGGCCCTGGAGTAATTCATCGCTCTCACAAGTTTCATAATCATTTACTCTGTCTTTTGCCTATACCGGTTTTGTAATCTCTAACTGTTTTCTCCAAGAGCAAGTCCTCTTCATCCCTTACGTCAACACATGGGCAATCAGAGAAAGTGAAATATGCGAGGAAAAATAAGACGCGCAAAACATCGGATGTAAGAGGTTGATGGCTCTCGATAATGTGACGTCACATTTTTCCACTATGTTGGAACCGATCACGTCAGCCATTTTCCCATCCAGTCTTTCTATTATCCATGATGTGGCCGATTTACAAAAAGACAGAAACCGAGAGCGACGTTCAAAACCATTGAGGCAAGACGACGGCTTTTTGGAAGATTGGCAAAAAGCCTGAGGCTTTGACAAAATTTGTCCGATCTTGCAAACCACACACTGACCACAACTTTTTACACACAAATGCCTAGGGTGGATGAACCAAAGCCTTTTGCTTTGTGGCTTTCTTCCGGGCAGCCGACTCTTAGCCGGGTATTCATGTGCCTTTTTTGTAGTTGCAATTGCCAGAACTCAGTGGGAAAAAGTCTTCAAAAAAGTTAGAAAATGAAGCATTGTGCCGCAGGGAACAAATTCATGTTAAATTTTACAACTTTCACACAGCTTGCGATCGGAACAACGAGTTGAATTGTACATAAAAAGACATTAATTTTCCATTTAATGGTGATTAAGATTCTAGTCATTGGCGTTGCACAAATCAGCTGTTTGAAAATTGATGGCGTCTTTTCCTTAAAAACCAAACAGAAACTGAAATATAAATAGGGATAGATTATAGATCATTTTAAAGACAGTTTTCTTAATTTACCTTTTTCGTCTCTTAGAGTCAATTGTCTTCCGTTTCCGTCAGCAGAACAGACAAAAACTAATGGTGGTTATATCTGACCGTTTTGTGACTTAAAGGCAATGTATTACGATACCTGTATCTACTGTTAAATTCTGTCATTCAACGGTTACGCTCGGAACATTACTTTATGGCAACTTCAATTTGCCCCCTGCTAAATGCATTAACCTCACAGGTGATACCTGCACTCATGTGCAAATAAATATATTTATCAGAAAATATTTACTTACTTAAGTGGTTTCATAATCTTAACCCTTGAATAACCGTCTAATGTCCATACAAAGAAATATTTAAAAATAGAGGAAGGTAACATGAATTTGTCCATGAAAAATAACGATTGTACAGCGTGATTTTGTCTCCAGTTTTACGCAGAGTGTAACGCAAACAAAAAACACTAACAAATTTTTATCCAAGATCTCGATGAGTCATACGAAGGTATAAATAGTTACTCATGGAGGGTCCTTCTATGAGTAACTATCAAATTAGCAAATTATCCTTGCTCGAACAAGAGAATGTCTAAAACTTTCGCCTCAGGACTCTGTATAACTAAAACATCAGTTTATCATATATTACAATTGTAATTTAGAAATTTAAAATGATTTCATTCTGAATCCACTGTATAGAAATATCACCGCTAAATGTCGTTTTACACTTTTGATTTACTTGTGCCTTAAGAAAACCTTAATCGCACACACAGAAGAAGCAAAAATCGGCACAGACAGTTAGTGCGTGGCTTTTCCATGTAACTTTGAGGTAGCTTTAAATACCCGTAAAACGGAGCACTAATGAAAAGAGGCGAGAAAATATATGAAAAGTTTCATGAAAAAAATTTAATTCCCTTACAGATAAATGTCCGAATAATAAACTTGCGATTGTCAATACGAATTTTGCACACGAAATTGATTATAGTCTAGATCTATAAACAGCATAAAGAACCAGTAACATGAGCAAGCACTCGATAAGTAAGTCTTATTTTCATGTCTATAAAGGAAAAGCTTCATGGGGCGTTTACTGATGAATTTAAAAAATCGTCGTAAAACATGGAACTTCGAATTCAAGAGTAAAGTTTGTTTTTCTTGCTGAAGACTGGGGTCAGGGATACCTTATAGAAAGGGAAATCATTTTTTGGAGGAGCCATAAAAGCTCCAATATAAACATGGCTGAGATCTTTTAGAGAAGTTGCAAATGGCCTTTAGCTTGAAATTTTTAGTCTTAATATTCCCTTCCCAATATGAAAAATGGCTTTAAGTGAGCTGTAGCGCTTGGATACACAAAGAAAGCAAACAAAAGGATTGGTGTCCAAAAATATCCGCATTTACAGGGTGTCCCAAAAGTTCGTTCCTCTAATTTCATGTAGCCTGCGTAGCTAGCGGTATTGTGTAGTAGTCGAGTGAGATTTGGCGGCGGAGCCGTTGTAATATATTCGAGTGAGATTTGACGGCGGAGCCGTCACGAGCGGCGAAGCCGCGAGAAATACTTCAACCGCCTCGTCCCTACTCCCTTTTTTTGGAACACGGCTCCGCCGCCAAAACTTTAATCTCGCACCCACACAATGCCGCCAGCTACGCAGGCTAATTTCATGAAAATAAATAATAATGTAGACATATTAAATTCTGCAAGCAGAATACAGTGAAACCTGTATTAAGCGGACACCGTATTAAGCGGACACCTTCTATTAAGCGGACAGTAGCCGAAGTCCCTAAATTTATTTCCCTTATTTACTTTAAATGAAACCTTTATTAAGCGGACACCTCTATTAAGCGGACGCGGACACCTAAAAAGTACCTGAAATGGTCATTTCTATTGTTGCCAATCTGTATTAAACGGACACTTGTAATTAAATTCCACCACCCAACACGCCAGACACCGGAAATGCGAAAGATTGCCTCGAATTGCCACCCACAATTTTTTTTATTTTTACATTAAAAAACGTGACTTGACGAACTTATTTGATTAGTTTCACAGTACAGGATTGTTTTCTATTTCGTTTTGTTTGTATAGAGCTTGTTTGACTCATCTGATTTGTTCAAATTTGAGTTGCAATCCATGTTTATGGTACTAAGATCAATTGGTTCTATTTGATAAAGGAATTAATGCAAATGTCTATCGTCATAGTCTCTGGGAGTATTATAAACGCTTCCATTGTTCATTTGAATGGCATTTGACACCTCATATGACGTTATATATCGAAACCTGTATTAGGCGGACACCCTGTATTAAGCGGACGCTACAGCATTCCCCGAGGGTGTCCGCTCAATACAGGTTTCACTGTACTGCAATGCTGATCGTACTACGTGAAATTAACTCTGCAAGACACCAACACGACCCCGAAAGAACTCAAAACAGAGCGGGATTGTAGCCATAGACAGCTGTTTCGCCCTCTTTAATGTCTACATTGTTATTTTTGCTAATCAGATCTTTATAGATTCTACGTTCTTCGGCATATTCGTTTGCGGTCCTTTGCAGTCCCTTGTGGTTAATGTTTGTACCCTTAGTACTGTGCATAAAGGAAAGTTACAAAAAAATGCCCTGACACTGACCACACAGAAATCTTCCTTTAGGGGACAGTTTAAGCTTGAGTCACACCTCCATTGTTCTTCTTTAGGGGTTTAAGAATTTGAATTTTCCGACGTGTATCACCGTCACTTTTATAAGGAATTCCCCCGGGGTACCGGGTTCGACTTTACAACCTCGTTCCGATGGCTCTCCCTCTGTGCTGCCTAATATAAACGGCTTCAGCGACTTCATGATGATATTACTTACTTAGAACAGGGCTAATAAGAAAATATACAAATATAAAAATGGAATTTTCGGTTCAAAAGATTGGTAACGCAATTAATCCGTGCCCTGAATAAAAAGGAACGGTCAACCAGACCCGGTACATTTGAAACCAAGTTGGCCGCCCGATCAGGGTGAGTTCTCGATCCCAACGATCAGAGTCTTACAGAAAAATAGCGGACTGTGAATATGCCAATAATCTGATTGGGAAATATTTTTAAAAGGCAGGGGATCTTTAATTTTTCAGCGATACTTTTTATAGCAGTTTTCGTATCTTAGCCGGAGTCTACAGCAGGGGTCTATGATTTAACATATATCTAGCCAGATTTTTGAAAACGTCTTTACCACTAAATAGATCTTTTCAGTCAAGCAGTTTTTCTTTCAGCTAAAAACCTCAAGCTGACCGATATAAAACCATAGCTTTTTTCTATTTTCATCCTTTTTTCCCCTTCGCTCTTTCTTCTTCTCCTCTCTTTTCCTTCGCTGGAGTGATTTTCGAGCTGATTGGGCGCAGAAAACCTGCCTTTTGTCCCTCCTTTGGCCTTCGCTCTGTTCGTTTTTTTTTTTGTTTGTTTTGTTTTGTTTTTTGTTTTTTAACAAAAAGGCTAGATATATTAAGTTATTATTATTTCCTAATTTTAAACTTTTAAATTAGGAAAAACCGTATGAACGTGAACGTGGTAATGAACATTCTCATAAAACAGCAACCAAAGTTTCTCTAGTTTGGAACCTTTTTATTCTGTGATGTAGTTGTGGAGTTATGTTTTTAAATCAACTTAGAAAATTTATCACTTAATAGCTGACTTCGGAAAAGAGTGATAACCTAGGACCCAAACTAAGAACCCGCTCATTTATGGGATTGTTTGGGGTACACGTCGGGCAGCCACCTTGAATTATGACGAGACGTGCAAGTTGTTGTTTTTTTTTGTGCACAAATAACTTCAGGAACTTCCGGGTCCGCGCGTACTTACCTTTGTATGAGTTGCGTTCTCTTTCCGGTTGTTTTGGCTCAACGGCAAACAGGCCATCTCTGAAGCTGTTTCACGGTGCATTCTTATGGTTTTCTCGAGATAAAATTGTCTCAGGCACATTTTCTTCCTCCAGCTTCACATTTTCATGTTCTTTGTCCTTTCAATTCCATCCTCCGTTTTGCTATTTTTGAGCTGTTTTAACCCAGCATTCCACTTCGCGTTGTCGCGTCCCCCCCCCCCCCCAAAAACCCCATAAATAAGCCCGCGCAAATTTTGGCCCCCCGGCTATCCCCCTTTTTGGAACGAAGCTCTTCTCCGCTTGCCCCTTTCCCTTATCAATTCTTGGTTGTCCCACCACCAAACAAATTTGCTTCACCTC